TTAAACCTTCACTGACGTCAAAACAAAGAATAGAAAATATCGATGCTCTCAATGAGGAATCCCCTTGTGCACAGTCGTGCGTGGCCGGCGGAATTTCGAAGCAGAGATGCGGTAATCCGAAGGAGCTCTTTGGTTTGCCGGCTGCGATCTGCCGTCCTTTGTGCTGCAAAGATGGCACTCGCCAGGCAATGTTGTCCATCTTTGTTTACGCGACCGCAGCGCCACGTGCCGCGCTTTCCCCAGTCCGGTGGCGTATTTGTAAACGGTAGGCGATATGCGGCATGGCAACACCGCGTACAGTCTAAATAGCCGGTATCTGCAGCGCAAAAAAAAAAGTATATCAAATAGGTATTAATATAAAACATATTTATAAACAAAACAACAACAAAATTCCGAGGACACCTAAGCACTTCTTATGAGTTGTTAATGCGAAAGCATGGATGTCGTTTTTCCGCTCGCTTAGTTCGTCTGCGGTGTACTGGCGTGGACGGCCACGTTCCGCTACTGCCGAGGTTGCGGCCACCGACGATAAAGATGCCTCAGGCTTTCCTCGGCGCCGAGAGGACAAGGTGCGGCCACAGCCACCCACATCCTAACCATAGCCTCCTCCATACTGGCAGATCGCCACGAGAAGCGGACCCCGAAATCAGAAAGGTAGAGCGGCAGACAACGAATGAGAGGAGAGCCACGTGACGGGCGCCCCGCTGCGGCGAGACGCCGAAACACAATTCTCTCAAGCGATGGAATCTCCGCTCGTCCTCCTCGCGTTCCTCGCGCTACCGCTTCTTTTCTTGTCGGGTGTGGCAACCATGTTTCGGGTCCTCGCCGCTGCGAAAGCTGTGCGCTGATGTCCAGGTCCCCCAGAAATGCTGTGTGCTACCAGATCCTCGCGCTCTAGGTCTCTGACCGGACACTCTGTGGCCCCGTCGTCGAACTGCTATGCCATCAGACAACGCCTGACACGAGAGCGGCGGTCTAGCGCGCGCTCTCGTGAAGTGGCGGCCGATGGCTGTCTAGGAGCCATTTTGCTCAGCCAATGGGAGGGTGGGCATTTCTTTCGCGTGTTTTGCGGTTGCAGACGCCGCCAGCTCCGCCACATGGGATAGGTAATGCTTTCGCATTAAGAAAAAATATCTTTATCGGTGGAATTTACACTTTTAATTCAAGCAAACAGAACGTATGTCATACAGACATTATACATATAAAAAACCGAATTCATTCGGCAAGTGTACGCTATTTTGATTCGTTTAAAATATTTGAAAAAAACAAAACGCGCTATTTATGTGCCATTCATGTGGTACTTTTCATCAGCTACTTAGCAAACTCTCATTCGATGTTCCCCGACTACAAAATGATGCACGACTTTTTTACCTTTATGACTTAGAATCTGACCCCATTAACACGTATGCAGGTATGTACGACACGCTTAATAACTCGGGCGTTGACTTCTTAACTCATTTTGAAAAGTTAAAGTAAAGTGTGCTACAGATGTTTCCACACTGGCTATGCTTTCTCCCTCATGTACGTGCACACCTCTGAAGGTCTAGCATCCTTTATGATTACACAATAAAACACACATTGGATGGACTGATGTCTGAGAGGCAAAATATTACAGAAAAGCAAGGCCAAATATCGAATTGAACTGTGCGTTATTCACTGTGAAAAGTGCGAATACGTTATATGGCTGTTGGAAATGATATTATGAGATGTAACGCATGTGTGTCAAGTTTTGTTCTTGTTTCGGAGGGGGGGGGGGGGGGGGGGGGGGGGGCAGAGTAACAGCGCACATAAGATTTTGGTGAAGACACGAATATGCCTACGTACACGACAATTTTACTTCGTAAATCCAGATGACGGTCTCTGCACAGTTCTTTCGGACAATTAAACTGGCTCATACAATTCCACAGAAATGTGGGAATGTTCTATTTTCATGCCATGCTTCGTTTAAAAATCAATAAAATCGAGCAAATGTGAGCGGCCGACCAAAAAGACAGCAGCGAAAAATATCGCTCAAATTACGTATTACGTTGGCTGGGGTTGACATTCTTTCGAGATAAATTGTGATTCTTTAGCATTTCATTGGGTAGCTTCACCCGGAAAATGCTCATCTGCGATACGAAATGCATGCGCATGCGCAAGAAAGTAAATAAAGAATATATAAAGTTATAAAAAAAAAGAACACAATATCGAATGTCCCCATGGGAGGATCGACCTGAGGGCCTGAATGTTTTATGCCCGAGGTTCAAATGCCTTTTTCTTTCTTTTTTTTTTTTTTAAATCGTCCGACGCTTAAGCACTGCGCGAAGGAAATGACCTCTTTTTTTTTACTGGTTTTTTAAGGGGACTATTTGCGAAATTTAGTTGACACGCGCCATTTTCCTCTCCTTAACGCACGTGTGCAGAGGTCGCGTTACGAGACGCTCATTGGATATGCTGCAGTCTTCGGAAGGCCTCTCCAGAGGGGGAAGTGTACACTGAGAAGGAAATAGCTGAGCAGAAGCGGCGCCCTGCTGCGTATACTACTTTCTTTACTCAATAGATATTTTCGGGCATTTAATGCTTTGTGACCCACCATTTTAATGAACGAACTATAGCCTTCATGAAAGACAAGCAATACTATCACATTTACGAAGTCTGCGGTGAAACAAACAACTTTTCAAAATCAAAGTATGTTGAGAATAAAAAAGCCCCAGCCACACTGCTAATAGCGGCGTCCCACTAGAGCGACAAAGACAAACTTTTGTACGACGACACGGCAAAGTGTCTTGTCGCTCATCCCGTCCCACTGTGGCGACGGACACCATCGACAAATGTCCGACGACGGACAAGACCTTGTTTGTCGTCTGACTTGTAGCGCCGCGGACGCCGTGTGGCAGTCCCACTAAAAGACAACACTCGACGACAAGCGTTCTCCTCGCGCGTCGACGCGCATCCTTCCGGTCTTGCCTCGTTTGGACGATCGCGCGCTCGCTGCTTTGGCGGTTTTGGTTCGCGAAGTCGCGGGTTGATTTTGTCATGGCGTGTCGCGAGAGGCAGCTCGCTCTCGCTGGGCTAGTTCTGCTAGAAGCCCTAAGCTCGAGTGAAGACGACGACCTCATCCAGCCTCCAAAAAAGCGGAGGATGTGGATGCGACCCCACCTGAGGAAGCACAGGGAGCAGGGGTGCTACGAGAATTTGATGCGCGAGCTGGCACTAGAAGACGCAGAGTCGTACCGCTCCTGGATAAGAATGGATACGGCCACTTTTGAGGAGCTGCTGGGGAAAGTGAGGCCACTAATAGTAAAGCGAGACACCCCGTTTCGACAAGCCATTCCGGCAGGCGAAAGACTCGCCATCACGCTCCGCTACCTCGCTACAGGTGAGTTATGTCGCTGTGAGAAGTCGCAGAAATCGGTGTACTAACATACTAGACAGCTTATCTCGGAAACGGTATGTTTGCTCGCACTCGCACATCCCCGGTCCAGGTGGCAGCAACCAACTTCATACCCCTGCCAGACTGGCAATTAAAGGTCAGTTCCATTGAATGGCATTTGTGTGATGGGCGAATCAGCTGTGCGCGTGCAATGTGACAAATGCGTCCTGTGCACGAACACAGTTGACTTTCACTTTCCCCCCTGTCTCATACAACGCCTACACACGCCGGAGCGTCGCGCGCACTGATTGGCCGATCGCTCAATTGTCATTCGATAGAACTGACATTTAATTGCCAGTCTGACAGGGGTATTACATAACTTGCAAAATTCAGTTTCGCTTTCGCAGGCTATAACAGTGTGATTTATCTCTAAAGTACGTCTAAGTAGCGCATTTTATTTCTCAAACTATCAAAGAAAAGGTTTGCCCTAGTCAAACAAATACAGTCAAGAAAAGTTGTATGAGTGACCCATTGGGAAGTTCAATTAAGCAACAAAACTGACCCTGAGAAAAGTGGCAAAATGCTTTTCCTTGCCTATTTTTTTTTTTAATCATACATTTTAGCGCTTTACGACGGGGTTGTCTTTTTTTTTATATATTTAATAGGCGTCTCTCCAATGCAATGTTAGTTTTTGTAACTTTTCACCTTCTTTGATAATTTCTTATATTAAATACACAGCCTACCCACTCATATGTGTAAATTATAGCGCTATTGGGCAGGAGATCGAACTATAGAGGGCGCTCTGACCCGTTTGTTTTCCCCACACTCGGTGTTTACTCAACACAAGGCCTGTGCACATGCCGACAGGCCTTATGGGCATGGCCATGTCATCTTCTACATTAGAGCGCGGGGCACAGTCTAATGTAAAAAAATACTAACAATCGACGAAGCGACGTTAAGTGCCGGTTCTATTTTCAGAGAATGCGAGCTTGACCCACTTCGGCTTTTGTGCTGAGCTGGGATCGTGCATGCTGCATTGTTCATGCAGGCCGTAGCGAAAAGAGAAGAGCCCTCCTCCCCCTCGCCGGAGAACATGAGCTCCAGCCGAACGCTGACGCCGCGTTCGGTTATGTCGGCCGACCGCTGCGTCATTGTATTTGTTGTCCCCATCCGTGTAGTTGTTCAGTTAACCGCTTGGGGCGTCACGGTCTGTCCTCCTCCCCAATAGCTTGCGAAACTGATGTTTGCAATTATTTTAGAGTAGGTTGCTGCCATCTGGACCGCCGGTAGACCATCAATTATGGTAAATCTGGAAGTTGTCATAAATTGTAAATAAAGAATAGCCCTGCAACCTGACACCACTGGCTGGGTTCAGTATATTGATATAACAATCCTTATCATACTGATGTTGCTGGCTATCGTTCGCTGTATTCCTAAAATTTCAGCGGTCTACCCACCCGAGTTTCGGTCAGTTTCCCAGTTTTGACAGGAGTCGCATCAATAGTCACCATTATCGGTGCGTAAATATGATCAAGTGAAAGTCACCTTTGAAATTGCTCCCTGAAAACCCTGCATTTTGTATACCATGGTGGCATACTTGATTGTTTAGAATGCATATAGAGTGCTTTCACTAATTTCAATGCAATGAACCTTCATTCCAGGGGAGACCTTCGCCTCTACTGGTTTCCAGTTCAGGAGGGCCCACAACACGGTCTCCAAGATAGTGCACGAAGTGTGCATAGCTATATATGAAGTTTTGGCACCTGACTTCATCAAGGTAGGTTTATCTCGTAAACATACCATCACAATTAAAGCCACACAGTGGTGTCAGAACAGAAGCAGAGGGACAAGCTTTTGACACACAGATATGGTGACCTAACCCCTTGTGTCGGGCAATCACAGTTTTAACAAAACTGTGATCTAGCCAAAAGGAAAGAGAAGTATCAAAAAAGGAAAGAGAAGTGTCAAAAACCTAAGTTTGACTGCCCTGGGCCCCCCTCCTCACAGTTTTCCCCCACCCGTCTTACCATCTTCACTTTGTAATCTCAACCATTCAAGGGCGCAGGCATCGTCCTGCTGGCCACCATGGTCTCGACCTACATCTTGACTAATGCACGTCATCTGCTCCTATCTGGTCAGTGGTGTTGGTCTCAACCCGCTCAGCCCCAGTGCAACACCATAGCCCTCCACATCTAGTGGCATTGGCGGCCTAAGCTCTCAGTCACTCCATAACGACATGTTCTGCTGTCTCGTCCTGCAGGCCAAGTGTCCTGAAGAAACCGTGTCTACACTCGTGTTTTGCATGCCCTGAACACTCCAATTCGCACCTCGCACAGCATTTCATTGCCTCTCGAGTTGTTGGTGACCTCGGTTTACTGTTGACTTGCCTCAAGTGCCACCTCCGGGGCTTGAACGACCATTCTATAATAACCCATAGACCATCTCATGGCTCTTGTATATAGTATTCATGACATAATGACTGTCATTAGATGCGGCACTTTAGGCCTGTATGGTGTGGACTGTTGCTTTTTTTTGCGAAACCGTGGATCTCCTGGTCAAATAAAGATTGCTATCACTATCACTGATACTAGCACCATCACGGGAGTGACGCTGCAGCATTGATTTTTCTGTTTTGTTGTACTTGCAATTTTGTGCATCCCATTAATGTGTAAGGGTCACCAGAATGTCTACCCAGGCTGCACAGTGCACTGCCTGTAAATTTGGCGAGTCCACTTACTGGGCGCACATGACTTTTTAGTGTTCAATTCAGTAAGTAGACAAAGTTCCGTTTAGTAGATAAGGTGTTTCCTTTCTATGAGGGTTGCACAGTTGGCTGACATGTCTTCCTCTTTCTTCCAAGCTACCATCAACGCCGGGCGAGTGGAGACAAGTTGCCCGGGGGTTTGAAGAGCTGTGGCAGTTCCCGCATTGCCTGGGCGCCTTAGATGGCAAACATGTGACCATCTGCCCACCTCTGGGTACAGGAGCCATGTACCGGAACTACAAGGGCACATTCAGCATTGTGCTGATGGCTCTTGTAGATGCCGACCTCAAGTTCCTGTACGCAGATGTGGGCAGGAATGGACGGATGAACGATAGCGGTGTCTGGGCTGCCACAAGCTTACGGGCACATATCGACCGTGGCTCTGCTGGTTTCCCGGAGCCAGCACAGCTGCCAAACTCATCGAAGGTGGCACCGTTCGTTATTATTGGTGACGAAGGGTTTGAACTCAAGCCGTACCTGCTGAGGCCCTTTCCAGCAGCTGAGCTAAAGGATCCAGAGACGATGTTCAACTATCGGTGAGTACAGACTGTTCTACCGTCGCTGTGCCACTATCAGTAAGCCTTGCCTTGCATTTGCCCTGTAGTGAGAATGACAATACATAGCTTTCATGTCGCATCACATTGGTTGCTATGCCCAGGTACTAGATGTGCCATTAATACAGTGGAAGGTATGTTGTCACGCGCATCCCCGAGCATTTCACCTCGTGCTACTAATGCTCTTGAAGATTCGCCGCATGTGCAAAGGCCCCATTTCTGGGTACCGTGCTCCATCATGAAAACTGACGTGCGAATATTGATTTCTCAATCAAATTGAATCGCACATCCCCCTATAAAGCTACCTATAGCACAACTATCTACCAACCAAGAGTTTTTGGCATTGCACATATTATGACTGCCTATGGTGGTGTCCACCACCGTTGTCTCACATAGCTGTCATAGGCAATGCCTGGGAATAATACAATGCCCTACATATTCTTGTCCTGCCCTACATATTCTTGTCCCTTGGAGATTGGACTTGCCGGGGATCCAGATCTAGAGATGCCTGCTTTGTCATCCACTTGTCTGAAGTTCAGATGTTGACATGAGCTTTTGAACCTGTACTCCGTGTCACTAGTTGCGTGCAAGACAGGCGAAGGCAACACCAGACGAGGGGAGAAAGGGAAAGCACTAGCGAGTTCGTTTGACACGCACTGGCACCGTTCGAGTTCTCCCCCAAAATGCATCGCACTCGCAGAGTGTTGCACGGAGAACTGAACTCAATCGATCCTGCCAAATGCACCGAGTGCAGAAGACTGAGGCTGCCGCCATCTATGTTGTAGAAAGGGTACCGACCTCAAACCGAAACTAGCGCCTTTTTGTTCGGAGTGATGGGTGGGAATGAGAGAGTGCAGTCGCTACCAACGTTTATCTACAAACGTTGGTCGCTGCAACCTGTAGTTTATAGTTGCAATGAGTTCAAGCAACTCGGCTGTTGTAGAGATAGTTACAGGCGTCGTAAATTTCTGCAACCAGCTGTTTACAAAGCAGCTGGTTGCAATCTTTCAATTCTTATAACCGTTTACACTGAAGAAAACTGATGATGCTGTCCAAGAAGAAGCTTGATTTGTTTGACCATGATATTATGCGTGAGCCACTGAAAGGGTAAGGCTTAAAACTAGTCCGTTGGATTATCCAGCAAAACTTTTCGTGGGACCTTCGATTTCGATGGTCATTACAGGTGAATCAGATATTAATTAGCCCTGGTGAGGGCGTCGAGAACGAGAGCTTTCTCGAACAAAATACGACAGGGCAAGTTAGCTGACATAGGTAAATGTTAAACATGATGATGCTGCCCAAGTCTCGGGTAAAGTCACTGTGTTTAGCATTCTCTGATGCTTATTGAGCAGTCAGAGGTTTCTGCTGGGGGAGTTTTGTCGACAAATGTTAAATTTTTCACCCCCACACGGAAGGTGATAAACATCTCGGGGGCCACTGATACGTTTGTTCTGAGAGATTCTAACACACTGGTAAATTTCAGCGTTTGTACGGCAACAGAGCGACTTAACGAGCACTTGGCCGGTGCTTTGTGCGTGAAAACCGTGGGAGCAAAATCTGGGTGGCCTCGATCAGACGATGGCTTCCATGCCTATAAGAACCTCGGGACAGAAATTAAAATGGAAGCCACGCTTGCCTTCAAGAAAGTGCTTGCCGCACAAACGGTCGTCCTCATGAGGCGACCATTCTTTTCGATCAACGGATATTCTTCAAATTTTGCGCTTTTTAAAGCCTGCCTGGAACTTGTGGCAACTCAGTTCACTACTTTTGCTGTACCTTTCGGTGAAATTAACGGCTGCACAGCTTTGCGGCATGCTGAAATGCTATGACGCCCATGGAAAATGTGCGCCCTTCTACCCACGCCACCGGCTCCGGCGCGATCGCAGCCGCACCGCAGCTCTATAATGTCAAGCCCACGTGTCGGTCTATATGCTACACTGGGAATCAAGTTGAAGACAGCTAGCAGTTCTGCCATGGCAATAGGAAATCAGTACTTATTGAAGGTTTTTAAAAGAGCATGCCTGCACTTTTAAAAGTACAGTATGAAGGGTCATTAGTGATGCAAGATTATTGTTTCTTTTTCCAGACTCTCCCGGGGACGTCGCATTGTGGAAAATAGCTTCGGAATCCTCCGCAACCGGTTCCAAGTCTACGGGCACCCTCTTCGGCAAAAGCCTCACAGGGCTGTCAAAGTTGTGAAGGCAACAATTGCATTGCACAACTTCCTCCGGACGAAGAACAGTTCAAGGGGGAGGTACACGCCTCCAGAAAGTCTCGACGTTGAGGACGTCCTCACAGGTAAATGCAAAATGGGCTATTTGACGTTGGTGCTATCCAGACACTCTGTCCTAGTGCTAACGTTGGGCATAAGAATGGTGATGTGCAATTCAAATGAACTCCTGCGCCCACCATTGGTTTTTCAGGTAATTGATGTATTTGATTTGTTATAACAGCAATTACTGTGTTTTCTGAGGTGGGTGGGCATGGGTGGGCACATATTTTTGAAAACGAAACTAAACCAGGCAACACCAAGTGGAACTGCTAAAGACTAGAAGGCACATTTAAGCATGTGCCTTAAAGTCTTGCCCGACATAAGCAGGTCAGCCTTTGTCAGGCAACAGTGACAAGCACTTCAGTTTCGTCCTTTGCTGGCTGTCGCAGCATATACAGGTTTCACCAAACTGTTGCCTCCTGTCCTTACACAGCATTGTAGAGCTTGTTTCTGGGTCGACGATCACAATCCTCTTTTATAGGCCTTTTCTTAAAACATAAATAACCAACTGTGAACCACAATTTGCATCATTCACCTTTCAGTTCAGTTTCTCGGGTAACTGTCCGTAGGCTTTACATTTTATTTGATTATCCTTTAAAGGGATACTACAGCGAAATTTCGGCGCTCATTTTTTGGTCTATATGTGTTCAAAAAAGCACCATCAAATCGAACGTACCAATATCTTGTTAAAAGTCACGAAAAGGAATTTTAAAACAAATTTAACGATTAGCAAAGAGCACCTGGTGGATGTCGCTAACGCCTCGCTTGTAATGCCCGTCTAGCAACCTTGGCAGCTAGTGACGGAGGTTGTCTCGTCTCCGGCCACGACGAGAGAAGAGGGGCAGGAGGAACTCCCCTCTTCAGGAGAATGCCTTTTGTGTGTCGCAGAAGTCGCTATTGTCCCCCTACAAGATTATAGAAGATTAACCCGTCACTCAAAATTTGTACAAAAGCAGCCGCTTCGGTGGCTGGAACGACTAGGCCATCCTCTCGACGTCAGCCTCGCCGTAGCTTTGCTCGTCTTGAGACGACCTACGTCACGATTGCGTTGGATCTCACGTGGTCTCCGCTGGGCCTTCTCCGAGCACTTGCCAGAGGGGGCCGTTTATAACGAAAAATACAGCCACCAGGCTCAAAATACAAACGTGCGATTGTCATTTACGGATATTGTGGATCATATTCAACCTATTTTTGAACACGACGGGAATATTTCAAATTTCGTTGAAGTATCCCTTTAAATGTTTACTCTAATTGCAAAGGAATCCGCAGGATATCACCAATTCGAACAGTAGCTCAGCAGTGCGGCAGTTTCCTAGGCAGACGCAGAGAGTGCCGGCACTCGTACAGAGCCCAGTTGCTACAGGGGTACGAAAGTTTCTGCCACTGATGTTGCTGCAGTGGAGGAGCCGATATTTGTTTCGCCACAAGCGCAAAAACAAAAATTTGAAACTAGATATATGCAAAACTATAAACACTACCGAAAGCAAATTATATTTCGTAACTCAGGGTTGCTGACTTAGTAAAAAATAGTCGTAACACGGAAATCAAAAGAATTTAGTGCAGTTTCCTTTTAAAGGTTCGCTTAAACGGTTTTGGGTTTGATTTTTACAGACTGTGCACAAGAAAACTAACAGAAGAGCGACCCAAGTACACATATGTAACGCTACTGGGACGCACATCTCGCCACTGGTACATAATCGGCAGCTGTAGTCCTTGCAAGAAGCTTGGTCGTATTACCTTTCACATTGATCACAATACTACATAGCCAAACACCCCTTCTGGAGCTACCGCAACGAAAGCAAGCCATTCCTGCTATTGTGATCCTCCTGTTGCCCTGCAATAGTTGTCCGCTTGAGTCGTCCCATTCAATGCTATGTCACCCTTGTGCCACTTACGTCTCGCCTTCCTATATTTTGTGCCCCTTTCCCTAGCAGCAGTTCTAGCTTGTAGAAATGTAGCATAAGATAAATGAGAAAATAATTAGAGTACAGGCAACCTGGTGTAAGTTTAATATGATGGCTAACATGACATTGAGGTGGGAAAAGAAATGGAGCGAAAAAGACAGAAAAAGGGGACACACCTCAAATAACATAGCCCCTTTAGAGTTTGATAGTTCTTTTTGCGGTTGATAATGGACATGTGAGGTCCGTGCTCTGGAGCTTAAGAGTTTGGCACTCCGTTCAGTAAACGGAAAGGAGCGCCGTCGGAGACTGACACTCGAGTGCACTCTTTATGCACCGAGCATTTCTCAAAGTGTGAGTGACTTCTTCACGCTCCATGATGTCACATCCACAAATAAAATGGCTGCACTGACCGAAACGCCGAGACGTAGGGTGCCCCCCGAACTGCTGGCCCTTTTTATTTGAATAGCGCTTAATCCAGTAGGTAAAAACAATTTGATTTGAAAGCCAAGACAGCAACTAGCGTTCCAGAAAAGGTTTGTTTGTGCATCTCGCCTGAAAACGAATACATCTATCAAACGGTAGCTTGCCAATAGAACAACGACAGAAAAGTTGTGGAGAGAAAAAGACATTCGAACCGTGGCCCTTTTTAGAATGCTTAGCCCAGCAAATAAAGATACTTCAATTAAAGAGCCGGAACCAGTTAACGTTGCGGAAAAGGTTTGTTCATACATCTCGCCTGAAAACGAATTGGCATGACATCTATTGAACGGCTGTGTGCCGGTATCGACATAGTAGATCGATGGATTCAGTCTTGTGTAGCAAGATGGAACCACGGGACATCTGACAAGTTTGACAGTTTTTGCGTCGACAAGCGGGTTCAGGAATGTTCTTTAATTTAAATCTGAACAATATGCATGGTCAATGAATAGCTCAGTCGAGGAACTTTCCGCATACATGCTCGAAAGAAGTCTTCAGACTTTTCACAAATATTAAAACAATCATATATAAACTTCCTAACGTCAGTCCTTTTTTTTTTAACTTCTGCGTTACAGAGGCCTTCATTAATTTATGTTCAAAATAATTTTGGCTTCTGCCACTCGTATCCATGAGATGATGGGTTCATCAGAACCGTGCTTTTGGAAGTGGCTCATGCGGCTCGTCTATAGTTTCGGTGTGTTGCACTCCCGTATCTATGCTCCATTTAGCTGCTGCGTTTGGAGTTTGAAAATTGGAGTGTCGGAGTAGGAGTAAACGAGTGCAAACTTAGCGCGCCCAATGAGGATTTAATTTCATATACTGTTAGCATATGCCTATTCCATTTTACAAAATGCTTTTTATTCTTGCTCTACTTCAGGAACAGTACGCGGTGGCACATGGAGGAAAGACGTGAACGACAAGGTAGTCTTCCCTGTGCAACGCATTGGCGGCAAGCCATCAACCGACGCCAAAGCCGTTCGGACGGTCTTCAAGGAGTACTTCTGGGATGAAGGCCAAGTCTCTTGGCAGTGGAAGTTACTGAAGTAATGGTATGTGTCATTTGTTAAGACAGTCTCTTCCAAGCTTTGCTACTTCACAATCCACGAAAAGGATGGCCCCCACATTTCTCTAATGCCATAAGATTTCCTTATTTTCCAATGTATAGGAATCTGACACATATTACAAGTAATACCGAGCATTTTTTTGATAGCTAATGGAATACAGTAACAGTAAATTAACAGAGCTTGGGTGGTTATGGATTCTGAGCTGAGATGTGTTCTTTGTTTTTATCCATACTTATCCAAACAAATTTTGGATAAGTATGTTGTGGTGTAGATTAATAAATAGGTGATGTTCTGCTGGAAATCTACATCCACTGATCTGTACCTTTTCCCTGCACTGAATGTAACTTACGAGAAAGTGTCTGGCAGTGGTTTCCCCAGGAATTAAAATTAGGGTGTGTGTCTGGGGGGAGAGAGAGGGAGGGAAAGGGGGGGAGGAGGGAGTTCAGCACACGGAGGCAATTATTTTTCTGTTTTCATGGGTGCCATCAGACAAACTAATATCCAATTCGTCTGGGCCCGCACCGTGGTAACCGGACAAAAGCTCACCTGACAAAAGCTCACCGGACAGAAGCTCACCGGACAAAAGCTCACCCGTTTTTTTCACAAACCCGGACAAAAGCTCACCTCTTTTTTTTTCGCTACCCGGGCAAAACACGGACTGAAATAAAATGTGGACGCAATGGACATTGCACCATATTTAGGTGAACTTGTGCCCCATCCCACGCAAGGGTTTACTACGGTTGATCGAATGCCATTCCGTCGAAACATGTTTTAGAGAACGGGCACGTTTTATTGAAGCACGGTTTAGAGAAAGCAGAGCCTCAGTTTAGAGATATGCCGTTTATCGAAATGGGGACGCTACTTAAAAAAGGCTTTTCTACTTCGCGCGTGTATTACTGGTGTATTAATCCAAACCTCCTGCTGTGCTTCTGCCGCTTCGCCGGCGGCAGTCTGCGGCGGCTCATTACAAAAATGTTAAATCACCTGACTTATCCATACACGCCGCTTCGCGGTGGCCGAATTCGCTAAAAGGAGGTTTATCGCCTTTTTCTCTGAACTTGGTTTCTCTATAAAACCAACACAAAATTTTTTCCTGGTGAGCTTTTGTCCGGGTCTTTTAAAAAATGGGTGAGCTTCTGTCCGGGATTCCGCACCGCACCCGTCCAGTGCACTAAACTCTTTCCACTTTATACACGAAAGGCTGGCGGGGAGAGAAGGACGCTTCCCTCTCGCCTATAGCCCTCCGTGTACGACCAACACCTCCTAGAGAAGAAGGCCAGAGCGCTCTGAGAGGTTACGTCACAATGGCGGAGGAAGGAAGTCCATGGCGCAACTACGTGAGAATACGCTATCGACGTGAAAAAAATGTCCCTTGACAAGCGGCGCGGTGGTGTTCGTTCATGCGCGTTTATCCGACATTAATATACGTTTTAAAGGCGCAGTCTTGTACAATTTATTATATATATAATATAAACGTATTATATAACGCGCTACCAAGGTTGAGAGTACCAAAATTATATTTATGAGTATTCCCGTAACCGCGGGACTACGTGCAGTTCCGCAGCACCCCACACTTTTCGACAGGACCGGCTGCGATGCTACTAATGCCACATGGCTCCGATTCTGGTAAATTTACGTTGTGTGTGAGCTGCTGACTGTCTGAAAAGGAACGCTGAGACAACTCGGAAGGGAAGCAAACCGAAAAGAAATCCAATCGTTGTCGCAGGGAGCGCACACCAGCAAGAGATGGGTCGACAACGTTAAGCCTTTCGTCGCCGCTGCTCTCGTGTGTGGTACTTTTGAGACTTGTTTCCCGTCGTATTTCTGTCATCACCGTAGTCTCGGGTAGTTTTTTTTTTTTTTTTTTTGTGTTCGCTTGATACTACGGCATTTACGTGCATTTGTGAAACAAGTCCTGCTACGGTTTGAGTGACGTGTGACAACTAGCCAACGAAGGCTCTGGTCGACTAATCGATAGACCTCTCTCTCGACAGAGAGAGGCTTCTTGGAGTTCGTGTTCAAATGTGTTCGTCACGGATATTGTGGGACGTATGGATACGATCGACAGGTGAGAAACAACTTATTTACGGGCTTTCTTGTTCATGTAGGACGCAAGTAAGATGCTGCAATCGTTTTTTTTTTAATCGCATGATAAATTGCAATTTTGTTCCTTGTCATTATTCGTATGCAGTTGCGTCGACATTTGTAAATATGCGCGCTAATCTAGTTTTCACTGGAAGATGAAAATCAAGTTTGTGTGATTATTGAAAGTGAGTTGTTTGTGGTTCTGTGTTTATTTATACTAAAGTTATTTTATTGCCTTTTCCCCGTTTATACTAGAATCTTAACTGTATTAAGGTGATAGTATTATTATATACAAAACAAGTTATGTTTTGTTCTAAGGCAGCTCGAGCCCATAGGGAGAAGTAAATTAGTAGACTAAGCAGTAAGTTTAGTACCCCTGCTACAGGGAAACGTTAATATATTTTCATTTAGTGATATAGGATTTAATCAGCTCGCGGTCTTGAGTGATTATACGAGCGCCGCAAGCGGATTTGTCGACCCTATAATGTCATTTGATCGGAATTACATTAATCTTGCCATGTGGCCGGGGTATGATGCAAGAATTCAGTGACTGCACGCGATAACGTCGCTTACATGATCGTGAGAAACGCTTGTCTTGCCTTGTCCGCGTTGACTATGTCTACCTGATTTTTAACTGTTCTGTTTTGCTGTTTCAAAATCACTGCGTGTCTCGCCATTTTGTCAAAGTATTTCTGTATAAAATATGCATTCCTACAACAATAATTGCATGACTCAATGTTTTCGACTTAAAACAATCACATTTTTCGATAGACGTCTTGTACGCATACCTCGTGCCATTTAGTACCGATTATTTAGCGGTGTAATATTTTGCTGGTGTAATAAAATGTTTTCTAGACCCGTTGCTATCTGCAGCTTTAATTTTAGCTAATATGACCCGCGTATGTGACTAAAAACGCGTTACGACGGTCGATCTACGCGCGTTGCATTCGCTTCGACGCGCGCCCCCGATGGCCTTCCTTTGCGACGTCACGAGAAGAGCACTACGGCCTTGTCTTCTAGGAGGTGTTGGTACGACGAACCGCACTGCATCGCGCGATACGGGTCCAGACGAATTGGCCATAAGGGGGGGTGTACACCCCCCCCCCCCCACCCCCCTAGGGGGTCGGTAGGGAAATCACGGGTGTCTTGTACTACTCAACAAGTAAACATGAAGAGAGCTCATATGGAGACTTCCTTTATTCTGGCGCAGCCACCACAACGACCTGTGAAGATATGGCTGCTTCCACGAGGGCCTTATGCGCGGCAAGCATGCCCAGCTGCCTGCTGGTACCCCTTGATATCGTCCGAGCAAGCCCCTCCATCATCAGGCCAAAGCCCCGACACTCATCAGGCTCCACCTCCCTGGCAGACTTGAGGCTGTTTACAGCTGCCTGCAGCAGTGCCGCCTTGTTTGTCGCCAGTTCCTCCGTGCTGTGACGGCGGCTCCTTTTGGCCGGTGCCTCAGGTGGTGGACTTTCGTCTTCGGACCTGTAGTCATCGGGCACGTGGCAGGAATCCTGCAGACAATTTGTGTTGCATCTTATCCTTTTCTTTCATTTGCAAGTGTTGAACTAAAGAGAACTTTCAGTGGATGTTATGTGCAGATTTTCACACAAGTGTTAAACAAAATATTGGACTTTTAGTGTATGTAACATGCAGTTTTTCACAAAAACAGTTTAACATGTGTAGTTAACAAGGCCATCATGATTCCACAAGGTACTAATTGCCGAAGTAAAACCTAAGGCATAGGGAGGGGCTCATACACTCAGTGAGACAAGATATCTCTGCAGTTGTTATGGAACACTGCTGCAATCCTCCCATATTTGGAGGTGCTGACATCAACAGTGATGGGTATTATAATAATCTTTTAAGTGCTTTTTTAAATATAATTTTCTCAATTTTTGTGTGAGGGCTATAGCATGCAGATCTGCAGCACCTTTTGGCAAATATATGGCCATATGTAATGAGTACTCCTCTCCGTCGTGGAGCTAAATATTTGGGCACCGTAGGCGTCATACAGTTTGGTCATGAACTCGATTTTTTAGCGATCCTGGGCCCCCGAAATATATGCTGCAAGCACCAACTTTTCTCGGTCAAGGGGGAAAAGTCCCCTCGGTTAAGGCACTCACCATATCCTCTTGGGAAACATGGACTGCTTCAGGCGCCTCGGCAGTCGACTCACTTGGAGCTTCCGGTGCACCACCGGACAAAAACTTCATTTTCTTGAAGTGCACCCATTTTGGGACATGGACATCGTCGGCCCCAGCACCAGAGCGTTGCGTGTCTTTTACCTTCCGGTTCTCTCTCTGGTACTGGGACCGGAGGTTCGTCCACTTGTTCTTTACTTTGTCAACTGCAATGTATTGAAACAAAATTATGACACCTTCACAAACAGCAGCACAATTTTGAGGTGTTGAATGCTCCAAAGTGTGTTGATGTCAAATCTCCGAAATTTATGCTAATGTGTTTACTCAGTCATTCTTGAATAAAACTGGTGTGTCTGCTGATCTAAAGAGATGCTTACTTCTGTGCAGTGGCGTAGTCGAGAATTATTTTCGGGGACGGGTTGGGATTGTTATGACTAAGGGGGCGGGGGGGGGGGGGAAGGGAAGGGAGGGAGGGAGATGGGGGGGGGGGAAGGGAGGGAGGGAGGTGGGGGGGGGGGCTTTGTCTCATCTTTGCTTGTAGTAGTCGATGTACTGTACAATTCACCGGTACGAACACGGCCGTCCCCAACCCCCCGGCTAGGTAGAGCAATTCGGTAGTCATCCAATATTTGTGTTCCTTTACTAAACAAGATTTTAAAGAAATATTTTCAGAAAAAGAAGGGGGGGGGGGGGGGGATTCCCTAAACCATCTCCCTGCCTTCGCCACTGCTTCCGCGAGCACCAAAAATGCGGCCGTCGTGCGGTAAGGATAGATCTATTGCTAAATTACCCAAGCATCAAGGAGAATACAGAAATTAGTGTTCCACGCGCACGCCTTCCCCGTATAAAGCATTTGAAGTAATAACCAAAATAAAGAGTTGACGAACGCGCGTGCAAGATGCAATTTGTTTTAGGCATTTGCATTAGAAAAGTTACTACCGCCGAGTCCAGCACATGCGGCGCGTGGAACACCAATCCCTGCGTTCTGCTCGATGCTTGGGTAATTTAGCAATAGGTCTATTGCGGCTCTGGATCTTTTTGATGATTTCTGACATCGGGAGCAAAAAGATAAACGAGTACTCACTCCTGTCGCCGAACCCCAAGGCGCCCGTGATGTCGGCGAAGGCCCGCTCCTTTAAGTTTTTTTTTATGGTAGTCTGGATGTCGGATATCCCACAGGAACCGGCGATCCTCGATCATTTGTATTAAGATACCTTCTAATTCAGAATCGAATTCTACACCATTCGCGGCCATCGTTCGTGCGGTGTGCGAGTAGGCTTTTCGCACAAAAAACGATTCTGGCCGTTGAAAACTTGAAATCCCACTGATCAGTGGTATCAGTGTCGATGGTCATTCCGTCGCGCCCGTGATCGATTATTTAATAAATTATTCGAAGAGAAAAATAGCCGTCTCCACTTCAACTATGTTTGTCGAAGCGTTTTCGCCCAAAGAGCGAAACACGAAAACCGTGTCGTCCGACTCCGTTTGTCTGTGTATTTTGAAGTGTTTTGTTGACAACTCCAGTCCCACTAGGAAACAAATTTCCTTGTCCCCGTGTTCTTCGTCGTGTCCGCCAGGTGGGACGGCGGACTCCGGCGGACTACGACAAACAGGCTGTCTGTCGATGTCTTTTGTCGCTCGGTGTCGTGTGTCGCTGTCGTTTGTCGTTGTCTGTCGTTCTAGTGGGACGCAGCCATAAGAGTCACGCAAAAGACACGGTGTTCGATGTAGACAGGGTGACTGTGGATACGACTCACTCATGCCCGAAGCCTATTTTCTTCAGACACATGTAAGCTTCGAACACATGACTCTCCTTTGCCGGATATATTTGCCGTGTGATCGCAGCTCGAACAACGCGTGTTTTATTAAAGCGATTCGGAGATATCTTTCTATGTTGCAGAAAGCGTGTCCACACCTTCTGATGTGAGAGCCGATGGTTTAACAGTACTGCATCCAAGAACGCCGCTACCACCAGCAACCCGAGGAGGGCGAAAGCGAAGCCGGAAGATCCCAGCACACGCAAGATTCGGCACCAGGAGAGGATCGCTATGGTAACCTGCGGAAACGAGGTGAAACTGTTGGCAACGTAACTCAGGACGGGTGTGGTGGCTCGTGAAACGCATTAGGTCAATTCTGGTGAGGAGTTTCTGATGTAGACACAACAAAGTAAGCATATGAGAGATCCGTCAAAGCCGTAGTAGGTCGTCCTAAGATCCGCAGGTGGTTCCGAGAAGGGAGACGAACGCTTCGGCACCAGACACTTTTTACTGTGACAACTGTAAAATTTCTGCGATGTAAGACAGTCAGTCAATGAACAAACACTGGGACGGTGAAAAGACAAGGCTCAATGAAAGAATAAAAACATTTAGATACAAGGAGATACACCACAGTTCTCCCACGCTCCCACCCAACTTCTCAAACTGAAGAAGATGCATGAAAACACACCAGGAAAAGAAAACCCCGTAATTAAGGAATAAGAAAAAAAAAGAAGAAGAAAACAAAAGATTGATATAAAAAAAAGCAAAAAGGGAGAACCACGAAGAAAAAAAACAAAGAAAAGAAAACCCGTTGACTAATAGCCCATTCAGACGGCCAGCATAAAGGTATACCATTAACATAGGTCTCCTTTCAATCGGCGAATCAGCCGGCGCTCTTGGATCGCGAACTGGTTCGCCGCTTGTCACAAATATCGCGTGAATGAGGTACAATTCAGCTCTGGCTTCAGCTGGTTAAGCTCAACCTTTTACAAATCAAAAGAAGGAGCAGCGATTGTCAAAAGTTCCGTGGCACTCCGATCATTGGCCCATTTAAGAAGTTTGTTTTACAAAAGAATAGCACTCTCGGATCTCTGTAGAACTCACTCGTAATTTATGTACACAGGTTAGGGTACTTTCATCCCAAAACCTAACAATCTGAACTACATGTCCTTCCAGCCTGTGCTCCAGCTGAATGTCACCATCACGTACAGAAGTCGAAGCGGAGCTACCAACATTCGTGGCATTCATAATCGAGAATACTGTGATCCGACTCTACTAGGGAGTGACTTTCCGTTGCAATGCAGTCAATGGAACGGTAACGCGTGCCCTTTCTCCGACTGAGCGCCGCCCATTGAAAGCTACGCGCGCGCTCTCCTCTCCTGGGAAATGCCGCAAGATGTTACCCCCGAGTATACACCTTTTCTACGTGGGCGCTGCCATCTTTAATTCTGGAACTTCCGGTATGCGTGAAAACATCGCTTTCTTCTCGCCTCGACAGTAGAACGTGTTAACATTTTAATTGCAACCGTCAGTCGTTCTTGTTATGACCCTTCTATACTTTTTTACTTGTTCAGGATTATAACCTCTTGCTTTTTGTTCGGAACCCATACCGGATAGGGGGACAACGTGGCTGGGTGCGAGGCTAAACGATAAAAGGTGTATAGCTTTCTCCTTCAAAAAGTGTAAATGAGCCCAAAGCTTACTCACAAGAGAGACAGCCAAAGCGGCGTTAGCCAAGAGACTCCCGTCAGAGGAATTTTCGACGGAGAGTGTAGACGTGTTCCCAGTGACCACGGAGCACTCGTTTACGAAGATCAGCAGAGCCGATCCCAACACGAAAATCTAGAAAGAAAAGCCGCAAAGACACGGAAGTCACGTTCGTGCTTATTGGTACAAATTCATTAGCGATGAAAGGCAAAGTGTGTATGCAACCTTGTATTGATCCAACATATTCAGGACCAGGCACGTAGCCAAGGGGGGGAGGGGGCCAGGGCCCCCCCCCCCCCCCCCCCCGAGCAAAATGAAGTATTTTGTGGGGGGGGCCCAAGGGGCCCGGCCCCCCCCCCCCCCCCCCCCCCGGCCCGAAATCCTTTATTTTGCTGGGCCTCCTCTCACCCTCCCCCTCATACAGCATTTTGTCATGGCAGGCACCCCCCCCCCCCCCTTCCCCCCCCCCCCTCCGAAACAAAATCTTGGCTACGTGCCTGTTGAGGACAAAGAAAGATCAAACACAAAAGAAAACGGAGACGAGTTCGCAAGAATACCAAGCTTAGTTGATTGCCGGCGAGCAATAAAATACGGAATAACAATGAACATGATGTCCGAAACAAGCAATAGAAAGCTGAATTTACGCGAAAAACCCCAAATCAACAACAAAATCACCATTTGTAGGAAATTCCCGAACGCTTTCCGTGTTCCTATAAAAAATATTTCCCAAAAAGTAAAAAAAAAACAAAAACAAAAAAAAAAAAAACGTATGTTTACGATTTTTTTGCAATACGAAATTAGAGCGCAGCTCTTGAGGTTTCAAAATCCTGACAGAGGTGATTCTGTAGAGCAGTGGTTCTCAAATGGGGGTCCGCGAAGGCATTTTAGGGATCCGCCAAGTCCTACCTCATCAGTCAAGCACGGCAATAAAAGCTGCGTTTTGTAAGGTCGAGAACAAATGTTTCCGCTTTAAGCGAGTTTTCTCATGTTTATGCCAATAAGAGAGGTCTACTTCATACTCGCACTTAGTTATTTCTATATATTAAATCATTATTATATTTAACCTATACATTTCCCCTTCTCTCACCACGAACGGGATCCTCCATCAGCTCCGCCGATTCACAAGGGGCCCGAGAAACGTCGATTGTTGAGAACCATTGCCGTAGAAAATAGAGGATATTATGAAGCCGCATTTTATGAAGGCGTGGCCTGTGACGTCACATGAAATCACAGATTCCCAGCTTAATTTAGCAGGAAAGTTAACGGCACGTGACCTCAACACTAATTCAGATTCCCCGCTAGATTTAGCGGAAAAATTGACGTCACGTGACCTCAGCACCAATTCAGTTTCCCCGCTAAATTTAGTGCGTAAAATAATGTCGCGTGACTTAATTGTCAAATGACCTATACACAAAATCGCTTACCCCGCTAAATTTAGCAGAAAAACTGAATCGGTGTTGAGGTCATGTGACGTAAGTTTTCCCGCTAAATTTAGCGGGGAAACTGGATGCGCAGTGTTGCATTATACGTAGGGTTCCGTGTTTTCGGTGCTTATTTTTCTTTACATTCGGGGCTATTTTTCGTTGATTGTTCATTCACAGATGGGGGATGTTACCATATGAGCTCATATGCTAAAAGCAAAGGCATATCTGGCGCGCTCTAAAAAACATGACGTTATATGCGTTATTTATTACAAATAAGGCACATAGAAGCAATTTCCGCAGAATCAAGCAGCGTTGCGGACAGTTCAGTGCGGTCGGTGCACGAATTGGACACAAAAAAAGTTATTTATAAAAGTTTCCTGTTTTGGAACTGCGTTTTTTCTTCTTCTAAGCAAGCGTCAATTTGATGTTTTCGGTTTTTACCGATTTCGGGAAAAAAACCTTCGGGGTTTTTTTTTCG